ACCTGCCACGGCAGAGAACAGAGCAAACAAGGAGCCGAATTACACCGACGGCTCCTGGCAGACAGAAAAAAAGCCGTCGTCTTTAACTCGACTCCACGGCTCAAAAACGTGGACATTTATAGTTTTAACCTCTGGGCGCCATCAGCGGATACGTTTTCTTTGTATAAATGCTTGTTGCTTAGTCTGCTAATCGAGATTAAAGACAGGATCACATTTAAAAAACACAAATAAAAATCAAGAACCAAGTTTTTAGAGCACAAATATAACATAACCTCAAACTCCAGATATCAGAGAAAGTTTAACTGCTTGTTGGTTGGTCAGAGAATGTGACATAACCTACTATGATGATAAACCCAAGCTGATTGGTTAGAGAAAAGTGGCCCATTTTACTCCATTTCCATGTTGGAAATGGATTAAATGCTCATCGTTTCAAAGCTAGTTCAAAGTAATTAACAGTGAAAGCACAAATACTCGTTTTACACTCCAGAATTCAGTTGATTTTTAGAATAAAAAATTTAAAAAACACAAACATTTTCCATCTCAGAGTAAATCTAAATGACCAACAACCTCATTTCACCAAAGTTTGACAGCCCTGTTGTAGCAGTTTAGACTCAGATTTATTTCTCCTTTGGATTAACATCAGTACAACAAGCTGTTTATCTGCTTAAAACGTTAAAGAAGGACAGCAACTCTTTATTACTTTACACACACTAAGCGTGGCCCTCACCTTTTGGGGATGTGCTGACCCCCCCAGGTGATGGAGACGGTGTATTTTCCCGGGCTGCTGGGGTGATACTCGTACGCAGACACACCGTCCCGGCTGGAGATCTGCCGCACCGGCTCCTCTGTGCCCTCTGAAAACACATTTAACACGCTTTGATGCTCCAAACCTGAGCAGAAGGCATGAGCCCAGAGAGTGGAGCACGCTTTACAACCATTAATTACAGTCCTGTAATAAATGTGGGACTTAACTAGACTTTCCACTTTAACTTGAATCCATCAAATCCAAAATGTCGCCTTTAAAGAAGCAGGTTTAACATCTGACTTCAAAACACTGCATTCTGTTCAAGTGGAGCTCTATGATAGTTTCAATGGATGCAAAAACAAAAAAATGGTTATAATCATTATTTTGGTGCTTTCCAATAAAGACTGAGGAGGAGAGAGAGAGAGAGAGAGAGAGAGTTTCTTTCCATCACAAAGGAAAATAAATTCAAGTTTAAACAGGCTTAAAAAGCTTCAACCAAAGTCCCCCAAAAGCATTTTTTGGACATCAAAGTACCAGAAACACAAGACAAAGAAATGTTGTTGGGCATTGGGTCTCTCCTGTTTATTGGTGGAAAAATAAGTGCCAGATGACAGCTTTGATGCATTTAAATCTCTGGATTATGACTAAAGGTAAACTGAGTCTTTAGATGCAACCTGATCAACTGAGCTGCACAGCATCCACAGAAGACAAAACTAAAGAAAAAACCATCTGACAGGGGAGGAAAATGCTTCTTCTTAGATATAAAGGCACTTTAGACAAATACAATTCATCCAAGAGTGTTAAAGTTTGTCAAATTAACTCATCTTCTCTGCCAGCCCTCCCTGAGATAAAGAGTGGGGACAGGCATTTTGAATATTTAAAGTGTTTAACGTGTAAATATTTCCACAGCAAATCAGAAGAATGTGAGTTTTTTGTCATTGAAAACGAGGACAAAGACGTTCCTCAGATTCCTCAAAGATTCTGCGTTCCAACACGAGTCGCATTCGACTCGACACCCGAAGTAAATTTCCAACATGACTTCGAAGCCACAGAAAAATATATCAAATAAAATATAAAAATTTAAGTGAACTAAGTTAGTTTAAATTTCAGGTAGTTAAAGTTAGGGTTCATTCAGTATCTCAGTTTCTACTTCTACCTCCGTTCATCAATAACTACTAATAAAAAACCCTTTTAATTGAATATTTCTTTATAATTAATTTCTTTTTACATCTCTCTTTTATAATGCATTTGTTTTATTGCTATGTGTAATTATGTGCAGTATTTATTAAGGAGTTAGCGTAGGTTTTTGGGCTGTGGAACGAACTATAAGAATTACAGTGTATTCTGATGGGATTATTTAAACCAACACAAAAATACTTTAACATACAAAGTAGGTCCTGGAACAAATTAAATTTTGCATGTAGAGGTTCTACGGTATATGTCTTCCCATCGGGGAACCCCGGTCCCCTGTATGACCTCGGCGCTATATATCAGACTCACTGGGTCCCTTGACGACCACCTTCAGCTCGCCGCTGCCCGCGTTCCTGGCGTCCACCTTAAAGTCGGCGACCTGCTGCACCCGGACCCCCGAGGGCTGCAGGCCCCGCCCGGTCGCCCGGCAGGCGCCCGGCACGCAGGCTGCAAGGGAAACAAACACAGGTTAGGCTCTGTTACAGAGCCCTCCACAACTATTAACACCCGTTTATGGTGTGTTGAGGACTTCTGAAAATGATCTTTTTACAAAAACAACATAGAACCCAAATGAAAAAAAAAAAAGAGAA